GTCCGCCGCCGCTGATCCTCTCCGACGCCGCCGCTACAGATCCGAAGCCGCTCACCGCCGCTCCTTCTCGCCTCCGCGGACGACGCCGCTCCTCCACGTCCCCCGGACGACAACGCTCCTCCACGTCCCAGCGGACGAAGCCGCTCCTCCACGTCGCCGGACAAAGCCGCTCCTCCACGTCGCCGAACGACGCCGCTCCTCCACATCCCAGCGGACGAAGCCGCTCCTCCACGTCGCCGGACGACGCTGGCCGCCACAGTCCTCCTCCTCCACCCCCGCCGGTAAGTAGCGATTTTTTTTTTAATTTTAATTTTAATTTTAATTTTTTTTTTTTTTTTTGTTTCCCATCTACTTCTGTGATGTATGCATAATTTAATTATTGATATGCCAAGCAATGTGTTGTGGTGTTTATCATACTCCTTTGCTATTGTGTTATAAATATGACTTGACAAATATGTTAGTTGTATTTTGTGATCTATAGCAAGGTCTTTAACAACAGTATTAGGATTTGAGCTTCCTTGCCTTGTGCTTGGTTTAAAAAATAAATGTTTCAAGATGCGAGCAATTACAAATAATTTGGGAATAGATTGATGGACATGCCCCAACATACTAAACTGCATACACATTTGATAATAAAACTAAACTAATTGGATAACCGAATCATGTTATAAATGTTAAATTCCCAAACTGAATAGTAACATTTCTGCTTTGTCAAAAAAGAAAATGAAAATTATGTAGTTATGATTTATGTTTTCTTTTGTCATACAAAATAAATTAGATTTGAGCTTTTGTATCTGACATTGGCATATTTTTGAGAATTTTAACAAATCACAAAGGAATCATTGGATATGGTGTTATATAATTAGAAAGTTTCAATGAATAATTGCAGTAGTTGATTTTGGCCATAAACAGGTAGAAATCAAATGTGTTCAGTACTAGTATACGAGTTTTTGTTTCATCTATTATTTTGGAAAAGTATGTACATATTTGGGGGATTTCCCACTTGAAACTATTAACAATTGGAATTCCTTAATGATATTTTAAGTAAATTGAAGACACATTTTAACCTAAATGATAATATTGGAAACTGAAAAGGAACTTAGGGTGTGTTTGGTTCAAACATTGGAATTGGAATCAAATATTTAGTAATGATAATGGGTTTTTAGTAAGAGATGTCTCTTTGTTTGGTAGTAAATAGGAATTAGAATCAAAATAAATAAATAACTAATTAATTAATTGATAACTAATTAATCAAATATAAATTAAAATGCTACTTGTTTGCGTCCATTAAATGCTACTTGTTTGGACTATGTAAATGCTAAAATTATTGTAGTTGTTGTAATAGTTATTATTATAGAAATTTGTTAAAATAGTGTTAACAAATGTTTAATTAGGGTTATTCTTATCTAGATTGGCTTGTACGTGATGGATTAAAGTTGGATGATAGCTAATCGATTTAGTATGGAATACGAAGATGGAGTTAGAAATTTTTTAGACTTTGCAAAGAGTAACCTTCCGAATAGTAATAACAGGTGGTTGTGTCCTTGTAAGAAATGTTGTAATCAGAAAAAGTTAGGTGAAGAGGACATATATAATGATCTAATCGTTAATGGGATTAATCCATATTATACACAATGGATTTGGCACGGTGAACGCGATGTGTCTACGACATCTAATGTGTATGTTGACAATGAAGATAATGAGTCTGAAGATCGGTTGGATGAAATGTTTCGCGATGTTGGAGAAGAGTTTACCAATCGGTCAAATGAGTTAGATGAATTATTGAATGATTCAAAACAACCGTTATGGCCGGGGTGTAGTAAATATTCCCGATTATCTGCTATATTAAAATTATTCAACTTGAAAGCTGGGAATGGGTGGAGTGACAAGAGCTTTACTGCATTACTTGAAATAGTAAAGGACATGCTTCCAGATGGTAATGAACTTCCCAATAGTATGTATGGTGCCAAAAAGATTTTGTTTCCAATGGGTATGGGATATACAAAGATACATGCTTGCCCTAACGATTGCATATTGTTTAGGAATGATTACAAAGATTTGCATGCATATCCAATATGTGGGGCATCTCGTTATAAAACAAGCGAGAATGTTGTTGGTAAAGTACGTTTGAAAAGGCCACCAGCTAAAGTTTTGTGGTATCTCCCAATTCTTCTAATATTTCTATATATTTTAATAATTTTTCTTTCTAAACAGGCGTATGGATTCCACATATGATGGTGGTACTACAGAAGGTACTCATAGTACTCAAAGTAGTACTACTAAGAAGAGGGGTGCCACTCGTATGCAAAAAATTATTAAGCAACGTAATTTTAGGAAACTACAAATTGAGCTTGATGGATTTGAGCCTGTGTATGGGAAAGCTGGCACTGAATTTAAAAGTTATGTTGGATTAGTGGGACGAATCAATACTCCTATCACAATAAAAGAATGGTTGGATGTCCCAGAAGATACTAAAGCTACTGTTTGGAAAGAAATCCGGGTAAGCTAGATTTAGATTTATTCAAAATGTTAATATAATTACATTTCTTACTAATAAATAATGTTGTTTTGTAGAGTACTTATGATATTCCCGACACCATTGATATGAAGAGACATTGGTTAAGCTATGTGAATGACCGGTGGACAATGTTGCAAAACACGCTAGGTGCCCCCTAGGCGCCAAGGGGGCGCCTAGCGCCTAGGGCGCCTAGGCGCCGATTTTTTATTTTTTTTTTTATTTTTTTTAATTAAAAATAAATTTTAAAATTTAAAATTTTTAAAATTTAGTAATAAAACATAAGGTTTCTATAGTTATTTCTTAGAAATTATTTACGAAAGTGGTTGTAAAAGTGTTCAAAAGATTTTTTTTTTAAAACACATACGACGTCGGCTTATAGGCTATTAGCCGACGTCGTATCATTATTTCTTAATTTTAAAATACATACGACGTCGTTTATTTTCTTACAACGTCGCTTTAGTCAACGTCGTACGTTAGCCGACGTTAAATGGGGTCATTTAGCCGAAGTTAAAGCTATTTTCTGTAGTAGTGACTAGCCCTAAATAAAGTGTCATAGCCTAAAAACAACAAGGGTTTCTTAAACATTAAAAAAATAAAAAATAAAAAATCTCCTCTATCTCCCCTTGTCTAAGGGATGATCGGAGCTTTGATGCCTTAGGAATAAATAAATGTCATGAGTTGTAGGAATTATAGCCTTGAAGGAATAGAATGAGATTTGTATATTTGACATGTTATGGGACGGGTTTAACAACTTCTAAACTTTGAATCCAAGTAAAACTTGGAAAGCTTCTTGGAGGGAATATTTCCCTGGACTCATTGACATGCCAAGAAATCAGGAATGTACTTTAAAAGCAAGCTAGTTAACCACAGATCAAAACCTAATAATACTCTATTTCCAGATGCATCCATCAATTCCCATCAAAAGGAATGTATTCCTGCACGCCACCTTCTGCCAATAAAATTAACACATGCCCATTTTCCTTAAGCCTTTGATCAATATATTCCGCAAATTTTTCTGTGGATCATGGTCCACACAATTGTGTGCACCATGAATACAAAGTGCATTTTTAATATACTAAAAGTACATTATTTGTCATGTGTTGCTTTTAGCGTCACTTGTTGACATTTGTGGAAATGGAGGAATAACTTTGTCTTCAATAATGAAACTGTCCACTTAAACGCCAAAATTCAGAAAATCCGTGCTTACAGTAGGGATATTCATGTTGCACTCAACCGCAAATCTGTTTTAAATGTTCGAACGAGGGATCAACATAGACCGATTATGTGCTGGAAAATGCGTGAAGAAGGAACAATCGCTGTGAATGTTGATGGAAGCAGCAAAACTGTGAGTCTTGAAGCTGGTTGCGGTGGAGTTTTGAGAAATCACAAAGGCGAATGGATTGCGGGCTTTCAGCGCAGCCTCGGAAAATGTTCTGCTGATGTTGCTGAGGCTTGGGCGATTCTTACTGGTCTTAAAGTGGCCTGGGGAATGAACTTTACCAAGGTGACTATTCAAAGCGACTCAACCAATATTGTCAACTGGATCAATGATCCGCTTTTTGTTGCCAATCGTGGAGGAACTCTCAACAACCTCATTTTTTAATGCAAATCTTGGTTGAAGAAGGATTTGGAGTGCCAACTGCTTTCACATTTTGAGAGAACAAAATCAAGTTGCGGATTGGCTTGCGAAGAACTCTTGTTTTCACCCCAATTTTGCCCTGTTTTTTTTTTTTTTTTTTTGAGTAAATCCTCTATAGCCTCCCTTAATAAAAAGCAATGATTTTAGCACTAAATAGGAGCTAAGAATAGAGACTAATTATAAAAATAATTGACAGTTATGTTAACATTACACCTATGCCAAAAAGATTAGACTTTAGGACAATAAATGCATTGTTTTATTATTCATTCCTAACATGAAGAGAGATGTCTTTAAATAGCATTCTTTCAATGTATCAACAAATGAAAACATCTTATTTCCCAGATAACAATCTGTTATGTGCTCCCGTCAGGCGCAATAAAACATAAGGGAAAAAAGAACAAAGAATAATAGTTGGAAAAAGAAGAAGAAAATACTGGGTTTGCTTGACACCCAAAACTCCCTTAGATCCTTTTTGGGATTGAATTTCTGCCTCCTTTCATTGAAATTAGTTACCCTTTTTATAGGGTAAAATACAACTCATAGAATGGCTAAAATCCAACAAATAAACTATATAAGCTAAGTAATCTGCTAAAATATTCCAACTTACTTCCAAATAATTAAACTACCTAAACTAATTCGAAGACTAAGAGTAATATGGAGTACGTTAAATAATTATTTAGTAATTCCTTAATATCTAAACTATGTAATATAATTATAATAAAATAAGACTTCCTAAACAATCATGGCTTCGTCATGTATCACAATCCCCCAACAAATGATGGATAACCCTGTATTATAAGCCCTTCTCTTCCAGAATAAAAAACAATTAAAGAGATACCCATAGAAATAAATAAATAAATTGATTAATAAGGTATAATAGGACATAAGAATGCATATATGACTTTGGCCTTTAGTCTAGTGTTCAAAAAGAAATAAACTTACAGGACTATGTTTATGACCTTAAAAGTGCTTCCACATTAGCCAACCTGAACCCCAAGCACATCATCGACTCCTTACATATATTTTAAGCCACATACTATCTCACGGATAACAGTATTGATTCCTGGGCAAAGACCACATGTTACAATACAAGCATGCACTTCTTCAGTGCATTAGACCCATGCTAATCTGATTTTATTTCAATACTATAACAGTTTAATGTAATGAAATAGTAAAAACCTTTTTCTCTAGGCCCTGCACCTCTAAAATGTATACCCCTCGAACTGCCTCTCTGAACAACAATCTGAAGAAAAAAGATGGCAATCATCAAACTGAATTTATAAAGTAAAAGATCAATCAAACACATGCAATAATTGAAAGTGCATACATCTTGAGCTACGTCTTCCGGGCTGACAATGGTTTTCCTGGAACAATAAAGATGATATAGAGCTATTAAGCAATGAATTTAGTATTACCAACAGGCATATGCATCCTTACATAATACAGTTACCTTGGAGCTTCAGAGAAGCTTACTTGACTATCACATATGCCGAGGCCATTTTCAAGGGATTTGTATAGGTCTGAAATGGAAATGTATAAATTAACATGAATTTTTTAGGTTACCATTAAATTTATCATAAAATTATAAATATATAAAGGATATTAACAAACTATCAAATCTCAAGAAATTGAAAAGTAACTTTGCAATAAAAGTTCACCAACATAAATTTAAAAAGAAGCATGATATTTAGAAGATAACGCTATTTGCCCTTCCTAATTTTACCTCCTCCTGACACAATAATAAAACTCCGTACCTCCTGACATGAAAATAAAACTTTGTAAATTGACCTACCTCACCTTGCATAAAAAAAAAAAACTACTCATTAATCAAATATTAAAAGAACCAACCACATATTGCCACTAAAATTAAGAAGAAAATGTAACATCACTCTATTCAAAAATACCTTGACACTAGTTCTGCAATGTTAATAGATTTTTCCTTGCATCTGATGTTGTTATTACTAGGTGTTATTGGTAACACTCAAGAAAGTAAAAATTTCAATGCAGCATATAGCTTGAGAGTTGAGAATTTCAAAATTCAAATTCAATTGTTGATATGTTGGTAAAGAAGACATGTTTGCATGGTTTCAATTCTACTGCATATTTATGTGCTTTAGAAAGCTACAGAACATAAAAATACAACAGAGCTTACAGAACATAAAAATCATTTGTTGAAGGGAACAAAATATAGTATTCTTATATTAATTTAATGAAACAAATTCTTTCAAATCATAAAGGAATTAAGCTTCTGCATCACAACATGTTAGCTTCCAGACGGTTGCTACCCCAACGGCGCCTACGAGCTCTCCTCTTCCTTCCATCAGTTTTTGCCTTAACTTTCTCCTTCAAGTCCCTTTCTCCGCGTCGTTTATACATCTTGAAAGTTATTTGTCGCTCTTCAGCCATTTTCCTAACCTTCTCTGTAATCTCCGCTGCAATCTGTCTATTATACAACTTTCTTAGACCGCGCATGAGCTTGGCAAATGTGTCTGGCTGAGGCATCACACCAGCATCCATCATATCCAAACAGTATGAGCATGCTTCCTTCACATGCCCTTTAGAGAAAAGTGCATGAATCCAAATTGTCCATGCATATACATTAAGCTCACAACCTTTAGTCACAATGCAACTCCACACACTTTTGCTCATTTCAAGCTTTTCTTCTCTTAGTAGAGAATTTAGTAAGTCTTTCAAAGTACCATATTGAGGAACTGATAGAAGACCTCTTCCAATCATTTCTTTAAAGAAATCACAAGCTTCAACTAGACGCCTCTGCTCAATAAAACCATTAATCATAATGACAAAGGTGTCAACCCCTGGACTTAACCCATTTGCTTCTATTTCATTCCAGACTCGCATACCTTCGTCAATTTCTCCCAATTTGCATGCCAACCGAATTACAGTGTTGTAGATGCTGAGATCAGGGAAAATAGCTATCTTCTGCATCTCCTTAATAAGTTCCATGCACTCCTCCAACTCTTCATTCTTCTCATGCGCAAGCATGACGTGCAAATAAGTAGTCTGATTAGGCATATACCCCTTCTGTATCATCCTATCCAGAAGCTCATAGCCTTGATCAGTCTTCCCCAACTTACAGAACCCACTTATCAAAGTGGTGTATGTCACAACATCAGCCCCAGTGCCACTTCTCTCCATATCCATGAATACCCTCATAGCTTCCTCCATCTTTGCTTGTGAACAAAGTGCTTGAATTACAATTGTGAAGGAAGTCGCATTGGGATAGCAAGATTTCCTTCTCATCTCCTGCAAAAGATCAAATGCATGAGCCATTTTTCCAGCCACAGCATACCCATTAAGCAAATTATTATAGACCACAATATCAGGTTCAAAACCAGCCTCCCTCATTCTCACCAACACAACTTTCGCCTCCATAAGCTTCCCTTCTTTGCACCAGCCATATAACAATGATGTGAATTGCTTAATTGTAGGCTTAAACCTAAATTTCATTTCCTCAAACAATGTAGATGCCTCTTTTACACTGCCATTCTTGCACAAAGCATCCAACAAACATCCAAATACATACTCATCTGGTTCACAACCATATTTGGGCATCTCATCCAAAACTTCAATAGCTTTCTTCACCATTCTAGTTGAGGCAAATCTCCGCATTAAAATCACAAACACCTCAGGGGATAATAATTGAGGACTTTCTTTTCTCATCTCCTCAATAAGAGCCCAAACAGCTCCAAACTGCCTCATTTTTCCTAAAATCTTGATCATAGCTTTGTACACATCATAGCTATACCTATATCCAGGTTGCTTCGAAGCCCACACAAAGAATCTGTATCCCAAGTTCCCAGCATCACCACAACGGTTCAATACACGTTCTGTCAATCCTGACCGCACAATAACACCAGACTGTTGCAAAGCAAGTTCTAATTTTGGAACCCTAGAGTGAAACTTCTTCAAAATTCTATATACCTTCTCAACATCAGTGGTGAATTCATCTTTATTCTGATCATTTGCCAACTCTTCTGGTTCAGTTTTGAGGTGGATGAGGCCAGGTCCCTTCCTCAGTTCATTGTGCATACTTGGGGACTCATTACAAAAATTTGGTTTATGAGTTTGTAGTGGCTCGTTGAGTTTTGATAAGTAGGTGCAGAAAAACTGAGTCTTTGTCAATTTATAGAATGGGGTTGTGGGAGCTTTTGAATTGAACAATAAGGGAGATCCTTTTTTGTAAAGAAGCATTGTTCTCTTTGAAGGAACCCTTGGCATTTTCTTTTCCACTCTCGGAGCAGAGGAGATTTACAAAGCATGGTCCTCACTGTATAAAATCACTTCCTATGTTGGTTCTTGTCATTACTAGTAGGGGTGCCTGTGAAGGCCCAGCCAAATCAAATTTATTACTTCTGTATTTCCTATTTTCCTACAAGAGTAACTTCCATGCATTCCTTGCAAAGTAAAAAGAAGGATATCAATGACTGAATTAGGTTGAAAGAAAGTCCCTTGATTTAATTGTTTCGAGAGCTGTCAAAGACACAAATTTTGATTCAATAAATTCACGCACAAATTTTCATCACATCCAAACATCATATAGTCTCCATCATTATCTGTATAAAGTATAAACCATTTCAATGCCTTTATAATCCTAAATTTGGATTCCAAGACATTCTAACATAAAGAAATATACACAAACAAATACACAATTGTCAAAATTTGTGTGCATTTACCAGTGAAACATACCACCAACATAAATCCCTGTAACAAAAGTGTCTTGAGGTTGTTTAGTATCGCTTCTAGTATGGGAAAATCTACGAGAGCAAAATATGTGATAGTGAGTCTAGCAACAAGTTCTTCCCATGAAAAAAGGTGATATTTTGTGCCACAGATTATAGTAGTCAAATTGTTTTTGTCAATAAGATATAAAATCAATATATACACATTCACTGTTAATGAATATGAGATATAAAAAAGTTCACCATCAAAAAATAACAAAATAACTTTCAGAAGTTAATATGAATGAAGTAGTTAACACTCAAGTGGGAATAAAAATCTCAAGTGGTATATAAACATTAGTTAGTTCATATACTTTTGAGACTAAATAGTATAAAAATATTAGAGCATGTTTATTTTACTAAACCATATCCAGTAAGCATTCTTAAGTACGGTAGAATTAAAAATTAAAATTGCATACTAAAAATAGCATGCTATTTATTAAATTGTCGTTTTGATTTTAACTTAAATTGTGGTTTAAAAAAAAAAAAAAAAAAAAAAACTCTTAAGCAGTTTATAAACAGTAATTAAATATATTATGTTCTTAACATAATATATATTTATATAAACAGAAAACAGTATAAAATTAAGCTTAACATAATATATTTATATAAACAGTATACACAGAAAACAGTATAAAATTAAACATGATATAAACAGTAATTACAATATAAATGTATGTATAAACATTAAAATCTATATAAACAATATAAATAATTAAATATGTATGACTATAGTATATATACATACAAGAGGGGCGACCAGCGAGAGTCCGAGAGTTCTTTGACCGGAGTGACCGAGAGTCCGACTGTCCGGGAGGGGCGACCAGTGACTCAGCGAGACCGTTGATCGGCGATCTGAATTAGAAATTTAGAAGACTGCATAGGTTTTTTTTTTTTTTTTTTGGAAAATAAGACTGCATAGGTTATAGTTAGATTTTATATAAAAGGGGGTGTTTGGTTGGTGGCTGATCAGCCAATTTTTGGCTGATTTGACCATTTTCAGCTGTTTGACTTAGTCAATCAGCTGAAATGAGTGTTTAGTTAGTGGCTTTTTCCCTCAGCTGATTCATCCCAATAAGCTGATTTTAGAAAAGCTGGGTGTAGCAGCGTTTTGGGATAGCTGGTTGCAATTAATTTTTGAAAGACAAATTTACCCATCAAATCTTCTTCTTCTCTCCCCTTCTCCCTCTCTCACTGGCAGCCATGGACAACACTCAATAATACACATCTAAACTGAGTAAACTCACAAATTAATAGTAAATAACAAATGGAAAAAACTATCAACTTGAAAGTCTTCATCCTCAAAATTCATCACACAACAAATACAGAAACTATATTTTTTTAATTCACAAATTAAAAGTAAAAAAAAAAAAAAAAAAAAACAAAAACAAAAACAAAAAAAAAAAATACAATGAAAAAAACGAACCCAAATCGATCATCTTCATCCTTGCTGCCATTGATTCTCGCCCTTCTTCTTCTCCATTGCTTCTTGCCTCTGATTCTCGCTCATTTTTTTCTCCAGTGCTTCTCGCTATTTCTTCGGCTTCTTGGCGTCGATTTGGGGCAGAGGGTAGGGATTTGATTTGGGATGTGGGGTTTGGCATTTAAGTTGAGAAATACGGGTGGGTAGTTTTGGCATAATAATAATAATAATAATAATAATAATAATAATAATAATAATAATAATAATAACAACAATAATAACAATAATAACAATAATAATAATAACAATATAATAATAATAATAATAATAATAATAATAATAATAATAATAATAATCTATACTATCTATACTATATCTATCTATCTATACTATATATCTATACTCTATACTATATATAATAACAAAATTCTAAAATTTTAACTTCTCGCCCAATTCTTAAAAAATCTCTCTTCCTAATAAAATATATTGATTTCTACTTTCTCATTCGTATAATAATTCTGCGTTAAGATTCTATTATAATATTATAAAATAGTGTAATACAATTCCTATTGTAATCAATCAATCTATCTATCTATCTATCTATACTCTATATATACTATATACTATATATAATAACAAAATCCTGAAATTTTAACTTCCCGCCCAATTCCTAAAAAACTCTCTTCCTAATAGAATATATTGATTTCTACTTTTCCATTCGTACAATAATTCTGCGTTAAAATTCTATTCTAATATTATAAAATAGTGTAATACAATTCCTATTGTAATCAATCAATCTATACTATATCTATCTATCTATACTATATATATATATATATATATATATATATATATATATATATATATATATATATATATAATAACAAAATCCTGAAATTTTAACTTCCCGCTCAATTCCTAAAAAATCTCTCTTTCTAATAGAATATATTGATTTCTACTTTCCCATTCGTACAATAATTCTGCGTTAAAATTCTATTCTAATATTATAAAATAGTGTAATACAATTCATATTCTAATCTATATTTATACTATATATTAGTGTTGCAAAAATCGTGCCGCTGGCCGCGGCGATGAAGGCCGGAATCGGCCTCTTCCGCGGCCACCTCGCCGGGTGAACCGGCGATTAATTTTTTATTTTTTTAAGTTGTAATGTGTCAAAACTTCAGCAGGGCATAACTTTTGACTCGATTGTCCGTTTTGGACAAATGTTTTTTTGAAATCGCGTATTTTTTTTAGATCTATCCACCGCAAACCGCCGTAGGCGATTTGGCCCACCAATTTCTAAAAAAAAATGTTTTATTAAATAGTTTCTAAGAAAAAATTATGAGAACATTATATTTTATTAATGAATTTTTTATTAAAAAATTGTCCCGTGCATTATTTAATAATCTTTCTTTATAATTGATCAAATTATTTAATTATGGTAAATTAGAGAATAATTAATGATGGTAATAGAAATCCTAAAAGAATATAGAATTGAAGAATATTTAATTATTGTTATATTATTATTGTGCCTCACGGCCATTATATACTAACAGAAATTGAAAAGAAACTAATAATAATAATAATAATAATAATAATAATAATATAAGTGGTAATAATAATATCTAAAAGTAATTAAGTGTTAATAATAATAGTAAGAATATTAACTTAAGAATTATAACATAGAATAAATCGTAATAATTAATAACTATAGTCTAAGATTAAATTTGGAATTGTCAGGAAAGATAAGCGATCTCTGGTGAAATTAACTCTCAAATAATTATATATCGATTTAAATATTCTTAATATATTACAATAATTTCATTCCGTGCATCGCACGGGTGAAAATACTAGTAATAATAATAATGTTTGTGGGTTTATTAATTTATTCATTTAATAATAATAAATAATAATAATAGTAATAAATTTATTTAATAATAAATAGTAATAGTAATATATTCATACCCTTAAAGATCATTTTACTTACAATCAGCTAAAAGTGAACAGCTAATTTACCAAATACTTTTTTATAATCAGCTAATATAATCAATTGGTCAAACCAGTTAATACAATCAGCTATCAAATACCAGCTAAACCAATCAGCTATCAGCTATCAGCTATAAGTCATTTACCAAATACCCCCATAATATTTTATTATATTACAAAAGACCTTGTGATCGAGTTGCATAGCTGTGACCCTCAAATTAGAGTTTTCAGGTTTGAATTCCAGTGTAGGGGCTTGAGTATGTATGAACAGTTAATACATTGTAATAGAGTCAATAGTATTCAAAAAAAAAAAATTAGTAATAAAGGTCAAATAGACACTTCAAGCATATGTCAAAGTACAATTAACCCCTTAAACTAACAAAAACTCCAATTAGACCCCTTATCTTTTCATTTTTATGCAATTAAGTTAATTAGCAGGTCACATCTAAGTTACAGGTAAATTTCATTTTTTTAATTTTAAAAAAGAATTAAAAAATATTTTTAATTCAAATAATTTAATAAAGGAATAAGGGTCAAATTAGTCACTGAACGTAACGCGAAAGTGCAATTGGACCACTGAACTAAAAAAAAAAAAAAGAAAAAAAAAAGTGCAATTACTCCCATCAACCCTCCAAATGCATTCAATTTCACTGGGTAGCCGATTTCCACCCTTTCCTTCCGGTTTCTTGTTGACCTGAATGATTACATGGCAATTTGTTTTCTTTTCCTTTCTTTGCCTTTGTTTTCCTTTCTTCCAGCGTGTCCATTTCTCCTCTTCTCTTCATCCCCGGTCTATAGATTTCAAGCTCTTATCTCTGTCGTTATTCTGCTGCTTTCTTTTCCAACGATGTGCATCTTTTAGATCCAAAGCTCCGTTTCTTCGATTTGTGCAGTACTCTTTGTAAGCCTCCTCACTCAAAATCATATTAACATCAAACGGAGGATAAAGACCATAAGAATCGAATAGAAATTCATTCATTTTGGCAGTCTAAGCTCATCTACGTTTAGGGCAATACGTTTCTCAAGCAGCAAGTGCTTTTTCTAGGTGGGTTTCACGTCGGCTTTAGAGTTCGTACAGAGTATGGGCGTGGGGCGGCGTGGTTTCTTCTCCGATGGCCCTCAAGGTGGTTTTCGACTTCGGCTTTAGAGACCGATCTTTGATGCATGGGGGTTTCTCGGCGCCCTCTATCAAGTACACAGTGAAGCAGACTTCTCCGGCCGTCATCATGCATTGTGCGAATGCGGCGACCTCTGGTGATGTTCCGACAAACCAGCAACAGCAACGCCGAACGACGGCAGCAACAAGGAGATCCGGCGACCTCTGGTCTTCCCACCAACAGTCCAGACAGGTACATTAACGTCTCCATGATCTCCTAAATTACCTCAACAACAAACCCATCAACATCATCTCCATTCTCCGCCATACTTCTCCAAGACCCAAATGCAAAAACCCCAATTCTTGGTTCTATCAAACCCAGAGATTTCAAAACCCAAAAATGTAGAGGAAAGTACAACTATAACGCAGGGAGCGTGAGATCTTTAGGGAGGTTTGCATATTTCTGGTTTCTGATTGAAGGCTTTGAGGATTCCGATTTGTTTCTTACACGCAGGAAGAAAGAAGTATAAAAGAAAAAAAAAAATTGCCAGGTAATGTCAACAAGTTACCGGAAGGAATGGGTGGAAACCGGCTACCTGGTGAAATTGAATGCATTTGGAGGGTTGAGGGGAGTAATTGCACTTTTTTTTTTTTAGTTCAGTGGTCCAATTGCACTTTCGTGTTACGTTCAGTGGCCAATTTGACCCTTATTCCTTTAATAAATTAAATAATAATAAAAAAAAAGGCCACCACTTGGCTTCTCC